TCAACACAATAGCAGAAATTCTCGTCTTAAATATCATCTTCAGCTAAAGACAAAGAAGGATGTTGGGGGTGGGGGGTGTCAGTTACAGGAGATTACCACTAAAGCACTGTAAACAAGAGTAAGGTTATTATGCACATTTAAGGCCTCACCTTCCACATTGATAAGTTTCTAGAAATGAGGTCTTCCCCCCTCTTCCCAATACAGAGAGGGAGATATCTTTACAAATGGAGATTTCCCTTATAAATGTAAATGTTTGTCTGGCAACTCCTCGCAGGGCCATCCAGAGGATGTGGCCAGAGAGATAGAACTTCCGATAAGATGGGCCTGTTGGTGCCTTTCCTATTGTAACATCTATTTTACACTATATTACAGCCATCAGATAGAAGATCTGTTCCAGGAAGGAGTTACTATGGCAAATTCTTTAGGCAGTTAGTGGGGGAGGTCAAATGTCCATCAGAGAAAACAATCGAGGTAAAGAGATATATTTCAGGGTGGCCAAATCTTGGTCTCCCACAGATCAAAAAGAATTTAGAACTCTGATGCAAAAAATCTGTCTGTGAAAAGCAGTAATTTTGAGTAAAAATGACTGAGGGTCAAATTCTGACTCTCCAGTGGAAACTTGGGCAAGTCAGTCTCCTACACTGCAGTCTCCTCATCTGTGAAGTGAGAACAATACATATAATTAATGTAATATTAACAATAACATTGTTGTGGAGATTAGGTGAGCTAATACACAGTAGCTCTCGGCACGGTGCCTGGCATATAGTAAGCACTCAGCGAATCTTGGCTTTACTCATTATTATAATTTTATTTCTATTTACAGTGTAAATAATTCTGAAAGAGATATCCATGTACATAATTCTTTGACCATAATTCTGATTATTTATGACAGGTTCCTAGAAGGATAATTACTTAGGTCCAAGTGTATGAACATATTGAATAATCCTGTTTTTTAAAGTGATCCAGAAAAGGCAAGTCAACCACTTGCTTCCTTCTACTCCCAGGAAATTCTTGAGCTCTGGAAATTAAATTTTTAAACATCATTTAGTAGATTACAAACATAATTAAGGTTTATGTAAAAATCTAATGCTCTTTAAGATCTCTTGGTAATAGGTCATTAGCAATAAAGAGAAAATAAAGCAGAAAGTCTCCCTGTTCTAGTAAACTGCAGCAGTCATAGAAGCGAGAGGTCTAGGAGACCTTGCCCCTGGCTTCCTGTAATCCTTTAACTGCATCCATTCTCTGCATTCCTTCCTAACACCTGCCACTTTAAATCCCTCACTTTGCATTGCCATTGAGCTTTTAGATTCCCTCCATAGCTTTGACCTTTTTATTTAAGGGTGTGACTTTTAACTAACCTCTGGCCCGAGGGTCAGCAGTTAAGCTGTCCATTCTCCCAGATCCCTTTCATCTTCTGCCTTCTTAAGGACAAAGCCTGTTGTGCATAACTTATACATATGTTGGTCATTTCAAGCCATTCTTAGGTGATGAAACCTCATGGGGCAGGCGCTGCCAGGGCCATGTTGAATGCATATTATGAGAAACAAACTTTTAGGAAGAGCTTTAGACTTTGGGCTCGTCGGGAAAATTCAGCCTGTTCAAGTTGCATTTCAATGTCATCTTTCAGGGGAGGCTAGAGGAGTATTCTTAACACAGCCAGTCCTGATATAGTTTTCTCACTTTGAAAGTGAGGTCACTTGCAGGGCTGTTGCGAGGATTAAATGTTAGAGACTGTCCCTGTCCTCAAGGAGATTTTAGCTTTTTCGGGCGGGGAGGGGGGGGACGACGGTGGGACAGAATATACACAGATGTCTGTAACAGAGGGTAGAGGAAATAAGGATCATGAAGCACATAAGGCGTTCTAAGAAAGGAGAGATTAGATTGAATGGTGGAAATCTAGGAGGACTTCATGTAAGAGACAGTGTTTAAGAGGAATCATAAGGACTTTAGCAAGAGGAATTTGGTGGAGGTGGAGGAGTGAGTAGAACTAGTGAGAATGAGAACATTCATGCATAGAGATGGAATCACAAGAGTAAAGTCAGAGGTGTTACAGAGTGGGGCATGTTTGGGGACCATCAAGTGAAGTAGTTTCATTAGCGTGTACAATACATTGAGGGGACCGTGGAAGGTGAAGGGAAGGGCACGCTGGGGCCAGGTTGCAGAGGGCCTGGTTTGCTGGGGTATATCATTTGTCTCAGTCTGCTGGACGAGCCACTGAAGGATTGGTAGCAGGGGGGTGATCTGACCACAGCTGTGATTTGAGAAGGACAATTAGGGAGCTGTGTGAAAGGTGAAGTGAAGAGAGAGCTAGAGAGACAGAGAGAAGGAGACTAACCAGGGGATGCTAGATTTTTTCTAAAATAAAGACAGTGGCTGGGGGAGGAGGTCAAAGTCAGAACAGTGGCTGTGAGGACAAAGAGAATGGGTGGATGTGCTTAGTACCCTTATGAAATTCTTTCTAACAAAGAAAAAAAGGACAATTTCTTTCTTAATTTATTTTCAATAAATTAATAGTTAAATAGCAAATTATAATTGATGGTTAAAAACTCACAAAACATATCGACAAATAAAATCTTTGGTTGATACATCTAATCACGTTCTAGAAAGCACAATAATTCAACGTCGATAAAAAGGCGTATCAAGATTACTGAACGCTATTGAAAAGGGATGAGCATAATAATAAAGTAGTTTCCAGTGGTGTCCACAGCAGACCAAACCATTTTTTTCAAGTAACAGAGTAGCATAGATGATACAATCTGTCTAAACTTTTCTGTTGGGTTCAAATGATCCATAAAGAGATGTAACATCAGTGAACCATAATGTGTTTGAACCATAAATTCTTACTCCCGCAATCTCCAAGCCTAGGTATAGGACACCAAGGAAGACCGTAGAGTGATTTCTGAATTAGCGTCCAGTCTCATGGATACCTTGCCAAGGTTTTGGTCCACATGTACCTACAATTCCTTTTGACAGTCACTTTAACCTAACACAACTTGGTATACCAAAATCCAAGCTTACAAAATAAATAATTTAAGAGGTGAATTACGTAAAGTAATATTTTAAATGTTTATTCATTTATCAAAGGAATTTCCTGCAGGGTTTCTTTAAGTAATTATCCCCTCATATAGTTTAATGATAACTCCATCTCCTCCTGACTTTTCAGGAGCACTCCGTTACATTTCAGTGGAAAGGCCCTCTGCACAAAGACATGGCCCCAACAGCATAAAAGTGTACTCCTTCTGAGAAGAGCCATAAAATCCTGCATTCAGGCAGAGAGGTCCTCTGTGCCTTCTTCAGCATCATGTTAAAAGGAAGCAAATATAAAAATACCATCAAAAGCGTTATTTTGTTTTAATGCCAGATGAGAGAGTAAGTAATGTTGCTCAGTTGACACCTGTCATCAATGCTTTGAGATGTACTATCACGTGGTAGTTTGGGAACAAACTTAAGTCCACATAAGCTCGTGAGACAGAGGTGCACATTCAGGAGAAACCCCCTGGTCTCTGTGCTTATGTATTTCCTCAGACAATTCTGGGTCTATAGGGAAGTTTACTGAGAGCAGTGTAAAGAAAGGCCCTAGAAGGAAAATTTGTTGCTCCCAATAAGCGCTTTGTGCTACAAGTGTGAATGCTGCATATTGAAAGACATTATGACCTTGCCATTTTGGGTGAATGAGATTTTGAAGAAGCCTCATCCAGCTTTCTTCTGATCACCAAAACAAAGAGGCTCATTTCAACCTTTCATAAATCAAATATCTTCTTTCTAGAGTGGTAGGAAATTTAAATTCCACTCTTGTGCATATAGTGGAAATCCATAATCTAAAAGCCACCAATTTCCTACCTGTGGCTCAGAAGGTTTTAAAACCTATGTACCATCAAGAACTTTGGGGAAATAAAATGTCCCAGAGACAATCAAATCACATTATTTGTATTCTGGGCTCAACTGTGGGATTCATCTTGGAATCCACGCATCGTCAGGGCTGCACGTGGTGGTGAGTTCTGCCAGATCCACGCTGTTTCATTGACTTGTGGGTACCACCCCTTCCAGCATAAGATTGAACTAATGCTCCATAGCAGGGAGGACAAATCATAAATTCATTAATTCATTAGGGTCTGGTATTACATTCCTATTGTCTACTCTAAATCTTTTGTTTAAACTAGGCTCTGTGTAAATGAGTCATTAAATGGTAATGTTTGGATTTTCATAATTAGGTTTGAATTTTACAGGTCTTAAATCAGCAGGAACTGAGGCTGAAGTAAAAGTTTTTATACCTGACATGTGAAACTAAGGGGTTAGATAACCTATTTTAGCTGTTTTTCATAAGAAAATTATAAACTCTAATTCATAAATTATCAAGTCCCTTCGCCTCACAGATATAATCCACCTTTTGGCTTTAGAGATAACACATATATAAATGTGGGCGTGCAGGTTACAGCTCACATTGCCACGGAGACGAAGGATGCAGAGCTCTTCCACACGTATCTGCTGTGTTCCCATAATCCTCACGTCAGGAGGGTTCTCTCTCCACAGATCTTCCCACAGGTCTCCAGGCTGGTTTCTGCAGGGGCTATCTTTCATCAACCTTGAGACTTAGTTTGTTCACCCTTGATCAAATGTGCCTCCTTCTGAGGGAAGCATTTTCTACTCATCCATCTGAGATTCATTATGAGAAAACTGTTTTGTGTGTGTGTGTGAGGAAGATCAGCCCTGTGCTAACATCTGCCAATCCTCCTCTTTTTTTGCTGAGGGAGACTGGCCCTGGGCTAACATCCGTGCCCATCTTCCTCCACTTTATATGGGATGCCGCCACAGCATGGCTTGCCAAGCGTTGCATCAGTGCGCGCCCAGGATCCGAATCAGCGAACCGTGGGCCACTGCAGCGGAGCACACGCACTTAACCGCTTGCGCCACCGGGCCAGCCCCTGAGAAAACTTTCGTATAACTGGAAACATATTGAGTAAAACAATGATTTTCAAACCTGTTTTTAACCTATGATTTTTTTTTCAAACATCTTATGCAGATCCGGATATATAAAATAGAGAGACACAGGCTGCTCTGCCTGAAGCCCCAGGCGGTGGGACTCCTAAGTCACCTTCCTCATGGCCTCCTTTTGGCTCCCTGCAGCTGAACGTGAGCCACCTCCTAGGAAGCTTAAATTCATACCTCACAAATTATTCATCAAGTTGACTCTGGAACATACAAAGGGCTGCTGACAGCCAGTGACTTCTGAACAAGTGCTGCCCCGGGTGGTGACAGCCAGAGCCACACTACGGAATGTGGTGGCTTGGGCCAGGTGAAGGAACCTGGTAGTCACCAAGTAGAGTCCTGTTAGGCAGGTGGGGTCCTTGGGGGAAGAGTCCCAGAATGTTTCCCTGAGCAGCCACTCCCGTTTGCTGCAGGCTCTGCTCTCCCAAGACCTTGACCAAGAAGTTAATATACCTCATCGCCAGGCGAAGCGTTTCATTTTTGCTCAGCTTTTTGTCTGGAGGGTGAGTGGGGATGAGCTTCCTCAGCTTGGCAAAGGCACTGTTGACATTCTGCTGCCTCCACCGCTCCCTGGTATTTGTGAAGATCTTCCTGGTCATGTCTGAGTTCCTGAGACAGGAAAGAGAAAGGGCCCCAAGGGCCAATACCTTGTAAGAGGCCTGGTGGGTACCACATGTCCCGCCAAGAACTTGAGATGTCAGATCTTCTCGACTCAGAGTTTAGAAAATTCATTTCCTCATTTTCAGGTTTTTTTGCATCTTCCTTTTGATAAGGGAAGTAAATGTGGCAGAAGAGAAGGCAGCATAGGAACACCACCCTTCAGCCCTTTTCTCCCTGTTTTGAAGCCTCCAGTTGCAAGGCTATTTATCCCAGTACTCCCATGACATTTTTTTTTTTTGGTGAGGAAGATTAGCCCTGAGCTAACATCTGTTGCCAATCCTCCTCTTTTTGCTGAGGAAGATTGGCCCTGGACTAACATCCATGCCCATCTTCCTCCCCTTTATATGTGGGACACCTGCGACAGCATGGCTTGATAAGCAGTGCGCAGGTCCGTGCCCGGGATCCAAACCTGTGAACCCTGGGCAGCCAAAGCAGAGTGCACGAACTTCACCGCCTCGCTACCAGGCCAGCCCTCCCCAAAACTTCTTTTATAACCAATTCTTCCTAATTGTTCAGAATCAGGCACAGTATAGGATTGAATATATGTGTGAAAAAAACATATTTAGCCAATAGGAAATTGAATATGGATTCTTAAAAAAAAAAGCTGTGATCCTAGGTTTCATTAATAAGATAATATTTGGAATGAAGATGGTGATAGCACAGCTCTCCTCTTAGCTGTCAGACCTCACCTGGAGGGCTAGGGCCCACTGTGCAAGAGCTAAAATATCCAGACTGGAGCACATTTAGAGGATGAACAGAGTGATGAAGAGTCTTGAAACCCTGTTGTGTGAAGAACAGAAGTGGGGATATTTAGCGTGACAAAAGAAAAAAAGACAAGGGGCAGCTAGGAGTGATGATTTGGCAGGGATGCTATAGACAGTACTCGGGCATCCCCATCTGGATGACCTTTCCGGTCCTAGAAGAGCTGATCATCACCATGTACTGCCAAATCGTATTGTGCCATTTTTAACTCTTGCAGGCATGGGCCCTTTCTCGGGTGGCTTGGATTAACACGTGTTAATGGGAAAGTTCATGATGCATCAGCAAACAAGCCAAAGCCCAGCGCCCAACACTTTGGGGCTCTTGGCTCACTGCTGCCTGCTCCAGTCTAGCTCCCCTGGGCAGTGGCCCCCTCCTGTTCCCCCAAAGAGTCAAAGAGTAGTAAATATTCCTAACTGCATCCCTTTGCACATGCCATTCTCTGTCCCTTGAATTCCTTCTTCACTCTCTCCTTGCCTATTTCTACACATTCTTTAGAGGGCAGCTCAAATTCTCCTTCTCTATGAAGCCTTCCGGCCATCCCAAAGCCCCCCTCCCCTCCCCTCACTGAACCCCTGCAGCCCTTGGTGGTGGACAAAGGCTGTTAGGAGGATTATTTGTACATCACTTATAACAGTGCCTGACACTTAGTAATTGCTATGAAAGTGTTGATTAATAAATACAACAAAATAATAAATATATTTAGAAGTAAAAATGACTTATGGGGTACTGAATATCCATAGGGGGTGATATCTTGTTTTTCTATAACCAAGCCTGCTATAATCTCTCAGTTCGGTGCCTTTGTTCTTTTATTTTAACCCTTAATGTAGACCTACTCTGTGCCAGGCCCTGTGCTACGAGCTGGGATTGTGGATGTGGTTGGATGAGGTGCTTGTGCTCAAGGAGCTTGCTGGATGGTCTGGTGGAGGAGGCAGCACATACATAAGCACTTAAAAATCACAGCACAAGGTCCCACACGCTAAGGGCCAAATCCAGAACACTGGCTGACTAGAGAAAGGTGTAAAAGAATCATGTCAAGACCAAAATGATCAGGTCAATGACATTGAACTTTTCCCTAAATTCTATCTTCCTTTCATTTTCATTTGGGTTTTTACGAGGATGTGAGCTTGTGGGTAAACACCCCACATGTCTGAAATAAGTTATATAAAGCGTCAGGAACTCAGTAGGTGCCCCTCAAAACGCCAGCTTCCTTCCACCCCTGTTGTTTATGTGAACACTGCACACTGGGGGATGAGTTGGAGGGTTAAACATTGGCATGTATGTTAGGAAAGGGTGGGCCCATTTTATTTGAAATTAACCTATAGAAATGATTGGTTGAGGCCCCAGGTGAGGTGAGAAAGCAGGTCCTTTTCTAATTTAAAACACGTGGAACTTTTGCTTCTCCACTTTCCTTCTAGTCCAGTGACTCTCAACTTGAGCTGCTCATTGGAATTACCCAGGCTGCACCGCAGGCCAATCAAATCAAAATATCTGAGGGCATCGGTATGTTTTAAAACTTCCCAGGCAGATCAGCTGGGTCCTCCAGGAAGCAGATTTAGCTGGAGGTGGGGGTTAATGCCCACGAAAGATAAAAAGGGAAGAAAGCAGCACCGGGCGAAGAAGCCTTCAGACTGCAGTGAGCGTCTGACGCCTGTGAAAGCAGAGCAGGGAGGAAGCAGGACGGCTCAGAAGACCCTCAGGCTGCGGGGCCCCACGGGGCAGAAACAGCCAGAGCCCGCGGCCCTGCCGTGCTCAGTCCTGGGCTGGGGCTGCCGGGGCAGGACACAGCCCCAAGCCGAAGGGGCTGCAGCTGAAGGCAGTGGGTGAACCGCACTCCCTGCAGCTGCACCGCAAGCTCTTTCTTGACGTGACACGCAAGCGGCGCCCGTCCACGTGATCTCAGCGTGCGGCCCGTGGTGAGCAGATCCTCACACACAAGATACCTGCCGTCCTGGAGCAAGGTGCAGCAGGAGGACAGAGCAGAGGAAGGGCCACCCGTGCCCTCACCGAACACCAACCAGCCGGGAGCCGCTGTCTAAGTCACCTCACCAACCAGGGCTTCATTTCCTCAGCTGCACGCTGGGTGTGATTATACCGTCTCTCCTCACCGGGTTGGTGTGAGGACTAAATGAAATGCCGCACGTGAAAGCATTCTGTGAACTACCAAGTCAGGAAAACAAGAGCAAACAGAGCAGTGCTTTGTGCCAGGCACTGTTTTCGTGAATTAATTCCTGCTAGACACGCGTGTAAGCCGCGCTGGTTGTAGTGACAGTATTGTAGACATTGCTGGGATCAGCCGAGGGATGCCAAAGTGTTCCAGAAGTCATTTCGCGATACAGTGTGTTAGTATCTCTGCCCTTCCGTAGGAACCAAATGATGATCCCAGGTAACCGGAACAAGCCCGTGTCACCATCAAGCCCTGGCACCATGGGAGTCCGTAGCCAGTGGAGGCATCTGCGTAGTGGTTAAGAGCACAGGCTCCAGAGCCAGAACCCTGGTTTCACTTTTGGCTCTCCTCTTCCTAGCTGTGAGATCTTGAGCGATCTACTTAACCTCTCTGTGCATCAAATGCCTGCAAGTAAAGGGTGACTCAGGGTACTACCTGTGAGGACACATAAAACGATATCCATAAAGCACTTTAGCACAGTGTCTGGCACACAGCACGTGCTCAAGAAATGTCAAATGATTACAATTATTATCTCTACAAGTAAAACAGAAAAGTCAATGTTCGTTGTAATTTATAACTTTTTTCTAATGAAGAAGCTATATTGCAATAGAAAAGGTCCAAGCTTTATGCCCTGGTTTGCTTCTCTACAGGGGGATGTGGACATATATGTGTGCGTGCAGACACAGAGCAAACGCCTGGAAGCATTCAGGCCAAGCTGCTGACAACGGTTCCTTGGGGAGGACAGTGGGTTGGGGGAAGATAGAAAAAGGGGACGTGTGTGTTTTATTTGATATACTTTGGTATTGTTTTACATTTTTATAACAAGAAAGTATTCATATATTATTTGCTTGATAATAGAAAAAAATTAAGAAAGTTTACGGGCTTTAACGTAGAAAGACCTGGCTTTGAATCTCATCTCCCAATTTCCTAGTTATATGATTCTCAGAAAATCAGTTAACTTCTTTAAGCCTCAGTTTTCTTCTCTGGAAAATGAGCATAAAGCCATTACCATGCTTCTTGTGAGGATTAAATGAGACACTGTATAAAGTATCTGAACATAGAAACGAGACACGATGTCTCCAGCACATGGATACTTAAAAAATACAAGGGTCCACTTCCCCACACAGATGAGAAGTGTCATTACTCCCAAGAATAGCATTTTTCAATCATCTGTATGCCCCCAGGACATTTCCCCATCCCAGTTCTCGTTGCCTTTGCTGCTTCCGTCTGTGTTGGAGAGTCCAGTGCTGGGCTGAGAACCAGAGGTAAGTGGCAGCCCCACGTTCAACATCTGGCTTCAGGCTCCCTCCACCAGGCACTTAGGTCCACTTCTCTCTCCATGGAGACGCTCCTAGTTGGACCCTCGATCCAGTGACAATCATATGCATTCCAAGTATCAATGTGGTATCAACGCTTGCTGATCCTACGTGCCAGACACTGTGCTGGCTGCTGGATACCGAGGAGCCCGCTGCCTCGTGACGTGGAGAGGGAAGCACCAGGGCTGTAGGGAAGAGAAACAGTACCTAACCCTGGCATTCTAGGGGGCTTCCAGGCAGAATGTGTATCCTTCCAAACTGAAGGGGGCAGACCAAGTGATCCCCAAGGCCTCTTTCTGCTCTGAAATGCCACGATGCCCTGCCTATTGCCTTTTATCGTACCTAAGTCATTTCTAAATAACCTGGCTTTCGTATCTACGACGAAAATATGAGTGTTGTCAGAACTGTACCCAACTATATCCAAAATATGAAAGTCTGAACCTAAATCAAGGGGATTTTAAGACAGAAAACTATCCAATTTTGCTCACACTGAGGCTGGCTGCTTTGCAGCCAGGACTGTGGAAGCAAAGTTACTGTTAAGCTTCTCTTGTCAAAAGAGGGCTTAACTCATCACTAAGTCAACTCTAGGCCAATGGGGGTCTTTTTCAAGCTGGGAAGAAAAAGATTAGGCAGGATAACTTAACTGGTGTGCTCTTCCAAGAGGGCTCAATCCTATTGTGCTAGAAGCAGACAGAGGAAACGGAAGAAGAGAAGACAGCTTCTGAAAGGTAGCCTGCCGTCCCAGGAGGTGCCTAATAATTCCTTGTTGATTCATCCTCAAGTGTGTTTCTCTCCTTCTCCACAGGGGGAAACAGAAATCAGTGATTTAACAAGCTGGAAAAACTCAAAGTAGAGGTCACTGGAAAATTACTCA